GAACCAGATTTGATTCCCAGCTTATCAGGGAAGTGTCCTTTAAAGAAAACGTCTCCCTGGCCAGTCGTTTAAATCTATTTATTTAAAGACATGCTATCCTATAGTTGGTGAGTATAAAAAAAAGCCTCATCTTCCGGTCACATTGTTATTTCTTAGACTGTTTCAGAAGCAGTTAAAAGTGCAGAGGAAGACAGGTGAATATGTGTGGATCTCGCTTTTGTGAAACAATGATGCTTGTTTACAAACATGAAGCTCTTTGGGGCTTTGTAGGACTAAAGGTTATGTAACAATTGTTAGTTACACAAATTAAATTAAAGTTGGGCTTACATCTTTAAATATCAATGGGGGACTGTATTCACAGCATTTGAATATAGTGCATTCTGGGTAATTTCTAAGTGTTGGGTGTAGGGCGAAAGGGCTGAGAACTTCTGTTTTATTCTCAGTTAATTCAGAGATAGTGAATATGTACATTTTTTTGGTGGCAATATATACAACTAAACCTACTTCCATTCACAATTGCTGTATGTACAGTTCAATGACATGGGTTGGAGGAGGAACCATTTGCTCATTAAATGAAGGGAAAGAGAGTGAACTCTGCTTTCTTTCCTGCAGTCTCCTCTTTATCAGTTTGAGCAATCCTGGGACTACCTAATCTGCTCTCAGGAAACCTTTTGCATTTCAGAACGTCAAATGGTAAAATTTTCATTTTCTGTTGAGTTCATAAGGTTTGACTTGTCTCCTTCTCATTTCCACCCCTGCTTCATGGAAAGAAATGGAGAGGATGTCCCCTCCCCAAAACAACACCAACCAACAAACCAACCAAACAAACAAAAAAACCAAACCCATTGCCATTAAGTCAATTCTGACTCGTAACGACCCTATAGGACAGAATAGAACCGCCCCATAGGGTATCCAAGGCTGTGATCTTTACAGAAGCAGACTGTCACATCTTTCTCCCATGGAGCGGCTGGTGGGTTCGAACTGCCAACCTTTCGGTTAGCAGCCGAGCGCTTAACCGCTGCACATGGAAATTTGCTTTCCAGCAAATATTATCTTGTACTGTGATCAACTCCAATAACTAGTCTTTTTTTTTTTTCCAGGTAATCCCAGATATTGCCTGTGGGAACGCTAGTTCCAACACCTCTGCAGGCGGCCGCTTGGTGTCCTTTGATGTGCCACAGAACACCGCAGTAAAGTAAGACAATGCTCCATTCAAAAGCATTCAGCTTGGTACCATGACCTGTATGCTGGGCTGTGTGTCTACGGATGATGGGTCTATAACTCATCGGTCCAGTGAGGACAATGGAAGAAGTCCCATGTGTAGACATGGCCCAGTTCGCTCAAAAACTAGAGGAAGCAATTTCAGAGGAGGATATTACAGTTAGGATCAACGTAAAACTGGAAATGTGGGACTGTGGGATTGGATTGGATGAGTCAGTGTGAGGTAGGGGAAAACGCGAGGACTCAGATAAGATCCGGAGCCAGACGTTTCACTTTGCGAATAACGTTGCTTCCAAAATTATTTGGCCTCTTAAGATCTTAATTAACTTAATTGAATAATAATAAATAATTGATTTTAAATTAAGATTCATATACATAATGTACCCCCAATTTAAATTCCAAATATTCCAATTTTCTCTTTGAAAACAGGCAGCCAAGAACATAGAGATGATAGTGTTTTCTCTGAAGTTTAAGTTCTTTTACATGACACACCTCCCATCGTGACTGGTGGGGATGAGATGAAGGGCAGTGACATTGGAGGGACATCTGCTGTGTGCCAGGTGGCCTGCGGTGAGGCTCAGAGAAGTCAGCTGAGTGCCCCAGAGAACACAGCCAGCAAGTCCCAGACTCCACTGACCACCCTTCTCTGTGCCTATTAACTACCCCCTTCCCCCCGCCATTCCAAGCCCACCAAATGAGTGTTTGCTGTCCAGTCTTTGGGGATTTTAGAAGTCGGGGAACCTGTGCCCCTAAGTAACCAGCTCACTTCATCAGCTCTGCTTTAAAGGGGGCAGTGGGTACTATACCAGGGCGTGGGCAGTGGGTACTCTATGAGGGCATTTTACACTCCTTGCTTTGTGTTCTAAACAGTGGAGTCCCTGAGGATGTTTGGAAAAGGGACTTTGTTACATTGCCCCTGCACCCCTTCCCCTTGCCCCCTAGCCTTGAACCCACTCTGGATGGGCAGTGAATTCCTTAAGCTCAGGGAGAATGTCCCCTAGGGAGAGGGGTGTGGCATCTGAGGCAGCTCCGCGTTCCACCAGCAGGGGCCCCCCTGTCCTAAGCGTTTCAGTGCTCACCATACAGAGGCCACCTGCACCGTCCAGCTGGTTTTAGGAAAACACGGATCGTTGGTTTCCTTTACTTCTGTGAAACTATCTCCCAGCCCTCTCTCGTCTTGATCACATTACCTTACCTTTGTCAGCCCTACCTAATAGTTCTCATCTCATCCTGTTAAAACGCTTTTTTTTCCTCTCAACAAACCTAGAATCCTCTAAGCCTCCCTTAGGCTGCAGAACTGGACTCAGTAGCGGTCTGACCCAGGCTGAGTAAGATGGGATGCCCGATGATCTCAGGGTGCCCGGAATTCACTTTTGGGGGTTACTAGCTCCTTATTCTTTCAGTTATTCATGTACTCAATTTATTTACCAAACCTTTTCGAGCACCCTGTTGCAATCCCGGACTCTGCCATGGGGAGGCAGCTCTGTGCAGGCACTGACAGTATAAGGTTACATTCTACCCCAGGGAGAGACCCAGTTCTCCAGGAGGCACAGAGGAAGGGGAGGCAACTGCCAGGGAGCAGGAAGATGGTCAGGGAAGATCTCAAAGAAGAGGCAATACATGGGGTAAGCCTCGAAGGGTTACACAATTTCTGGTGGAGAACACCAGTTGCCGCTGAGTGGACTGAGACTCATGGCCACCCCATGTACGCCAGAGTAGAACTATGCTCCGTAGTAGGGTTTTCAAGGGGTGCTTTTTTGGAAGTAGATCTCCAGGCCTTTCTTCGGAGGCACCTCTGGGTACACCTTTTGGTTAGTAGCCAAGTGTGTTAACCGTTTGCACTAGTTAGCAAACCCTAAAACTAAACCTGTTACCGTCAAGTCTGTTCCGACTCATTGCGTTAGGTAGAGGAGGAGGCAAAAGCTGGGAGCTGGGCAAGCGCTTGTTTGGGGAAGAGCCAGTAGCTCATTGCTGCTCCAGCACTGGGTTGTAAGGACGGAGATTTGAGGCTGGGAGTGAGCTGGGGCCAGGCTTGACTGGCAGCTTAACGAACTCATATGGCCGTGCTGAGCTACAGCACACGTGTATCATAAATTTCAACAGGATTCTTATACTGGGTGGCTATGGAAGGATTGCATGTGTAAACCATTATTTACTAAAATTATTACCCAAAGGTGAGTTGCCTATTACCTGTTTTGTGGTATATTTTGGATACATGGACGATAGATATTTCTAACAAATGACAGAAACAACCACCGTGGTTTGTAAGATCGTTTCATCGACTTCTGGGTGCCTTTTTGGATGTACGTGTCATCTTAACTGTATTTTGAATTTGATGAGCCAGTTCTAAGATACATTTTTCTGAAAGTGACTTTCTGTTTACATTGTTCCTGTTTTCAGAATTCGGCAAGACGCCACCGCTTCCCTGATTCTATTATGGAAGGTCACAGCCAACGGATTCCAACAGTGTTCCCTCATCGATGGACGAAGTGTGACCCTCCTCCAGGCCCCCGGGGGCCTTGTCCTCCTGGAGGAGATGCTTGCCTTGGGGCACAATTACTTCATTGGTGAGTTACGGGGCATCTCCTGTTCACGGAATGCTTTCAACACCCTTATCTGATCCAACGCAACCTTGGTTTAGTTTGTAGAGACAGGGAGTTTTGCCCACATCATCTGAATTCTAGCCATCAAAACCATGTCCTCCATTTTAGGTTAAAAAAAACAAAAACAAAACAAAACAAAAAACAACCAAACCTGTTGCCTTCGAGTTGATTCCAACTCATAGCAACCATATAGGACAGAGTAGAACTGCCACATCGAGTTTCCAAGGAGCGCCTGGTAGATTTGAACTGCTGACCTTTTGGTTAGCAGCCAGAGCACTTAACCATTACACCACCAAGGTTTCCTGTTCTAGGTAATGCTTTGCTTATAATCAAAACTGGTTTCTGAGATAGTCTTTCCAGTGTGGCTCAAAGTGAACACAGCTTGGGCTTTGGAATCCAGCGACTGTCCCAACCCTGGTCAAAGCTCAATAGGGATGTGCTCTTAGCAACTCACTTAAATGCTCTGCATCTCAGTTTTCTTTCTGACTCTTTAGTCCACTTGCTCCAGGAATTGTGGGCAACTTGAGGCGCTGAATGTCAGTGTCTCAGAAAAACCTTTGTTTCCACCTAACTTGGTCCTGACTGAGAGAGCCTCTGGTGCAGACCTCAAAAATAATCGATCTCTTCTGAACCGCCAACTCTGAAGTAATTTACAGGATTACAACTCTCTCAGGGGCCTCTTTTCCCTGTACCTATCCTTCCTCTGAGGGGCACTTCTAACTTTTCCCTCTTTCTGGAACATGCCTCTGTAATTTAACCTTCTCTGAACTATCACATGTCCAATGAACTGTTTTAAATTTCTCCGCCCCTGGTGTAGAAATGACCTTCAGAAGGCATGCCCCCAACCCCCACCGTGCTCTCCACCCCCAGCCCCTGCCACCCACTCCTCTGAGGGTTACACCTGGGCTGTTTTCCAGTTGGTCGTCATTCTGCCACCTGTCCCCCGGTGTACCTTTCTAGCTTTCCTGTAAGTTCATCCCTCCTCCAGCATATATAGTTCCTCTGGGGCTGGGACTGGGAACTCTAGCCCATTAACGTGCTGATACCATCAGCTCCTTTATTGGCGCTTGTTCCGTTTGCGGCTGTCTCAGTTCAAGGACACAGCTCAAATTTAGACCCTGCCCATCCCACGCCAAGGCACCCAAGCCCCCTCCTGCATCCTTTCTTAATACCTTCCCTGTTCTAACCTTATATTCCAACAGCCCTGGCCCAGAGCATGGGAGTGGGGAACGACAGCACCCTCCCTCAGTCTTAAATGAGACAAACAGTGTCAAAGTACAGATTACAAATGTTAGAGATTATTCTAGAGTACTTTTTTATTTTTATTTTTGAGAGACACTAAATATTTTACTAAATTAAATGGAAAATATAACTTAGATATACTTTTGATACAAATATCATAATAAAGATAAACTGATAAAATAAAATGCTCACCTCTTTGTAATTTATACTGGATTTGATATTTAACTGATCCTCCTCTGATCGAGAAGGTAAATTTTCAATTGCTGGAAATCCAACTAGGGATTTTATTGCGTGGAGAGAAGGTAAGAAAAGATGATATTTGGAATGGACACGGCTGCAATAAGAAGGGTGGGTGTTTAACTTCACACTGGTGTTTGTGTTCTAGATATCAGTCTGAAATTGTGTGATGACATTCTGTCAACAAAATCAAATCAGTATTTTATTCTTTAATACATTCCCAAAGTAACTATCATTTACTTCCATATTGGTTGCAACCATTTATCTAAAAGGAAACAAATTGTAGATTTTGATAGTTTCAATTTTATTTTATATTGGTCTTTTACATTGTTTTCTTTAGTGGATTAATTTATCCTTCTATGACTCGGTGCTAATGCTGTAAGAAAATGTGTGAGGTATCACTACTCTTTCAAATGTTATTAATGTTTCCAGAAGATAGCCACTTGAAATATTAGCTTACAGTTTATACTACTTTTGGTTGTAACATAACTGTGACCTTAGCCTGACCTGGAGGGCATTAATAGGGAAGGATTTTTCAGGGTTATTTTTATTCTTTTCAGATACAAGGAATTTTGTGAACTCCAACGCCATCTGAGCTCATTTTGACAGCATAGAAATTTCATTAAATAAAGGTTGTCTTTGGTTGACATGTATTGTTCCTTAGAGAAATAATTTTTAAGGAAATTTTATTTGAAATATTAATAACTAAATTAAGAAATCTTTCTCAAAAATTATACTTTGGATTATGACAAGAAGACAGTGATTTTCTGTAAGATCCTTTATTTCTAGAAACCAGTTTTTTTTCCATTTTGAAAATTCGGTCTCATATCTTTTAAAATGTCCTAAGTAGAGCTTTTTAAGTGTTTTACGTGGCTTTGTAAGGGAGATCCCAATCTTTTCGTGCCGTTCTCTTTAAAGGTAGCAGGCTGTCTTGTCGTGAGGTCCTTCTGAGGAAAAAGGTCAGCTTCTTGACAGTGATCCGTTGGCTGCACCTTTACACCGTCAGCTACTTCTTATTTTACCAAATCTTTTCATCTAAAGGAAACAAGATTTAACTTCTGGAATCACTGCGGAAGCCTTATGCTTACTCCGTTCACATGTGTTTGACATTGTTTTTTATTTTATTTTTTAAGAAGCAGCTTCTTAAAATAATTCACTTTTACAATTCTGGGCTCTCTAGTCATGAATATGTTGTAACGAAGAACCAGAGGCGGTTTTGAAGGGTGCATCTGACAGGTGAGCGCATTGATGCTAGTGCAGGTGGAAAAAAACTTCCATGCCAAAACCCATTAAAAGAACACGTTGTTGTTGAGTCGATTCTGACTCGTAGCAACTCTATAGACAGAGTAGAACAGCCCCATAGGGTTTCCAAGGAGTGGCTGGTGGATTCGAACTACTGACCTTTCGGCTAGCGGCCAAACACTTAACCACTGCGCCACCAGGAGAGTAAAATTCCAGAATTTGTTTGCTGTGGGAGTCCCTGCATGGTGAAAATGATTAAGCATTCGACTGTCAAAGGTTGCAGTTCAAAGCCACTGAGACATGCCACCAAAGAAAGGCCTGGCAATCTGCTTCTGAAAGATCACAGCCTTGAAAACCCTGTGGAGCACAGTTCTCTGCACACTTGGGACCACCATGGGTCGGAATTGACTGGACGGCAACTGGCTTGGTTTTGGTTTCATCCTTCCTTGAAATAGACTTGAGGCACTTTCAGAACTGACTGTCTCCTACCTCCCCCTTCACTCTCGATTGACTCGCCCACCAGAACTGATGGGAAAATGTATTTTAAAATTTCTGTTTAATAGAGGGGTTCCTCTGTGTCTTTGGAGACAAATTTAATAGCTGTTGCCAGCTTCAAACACAATATTCTTTTTCAAAGCTTGTTGCCAAGAGTCTAGTTTTCTACACATTCCAGATGATGATAATGTGCTGACCTACTGTTATTACATAGGTGACGTATCTGACCTATTTCAATATCATTACATTTAATTTTTTACAGTTTTTTTTTTTTGTTGCTATTTTTTGTTGTTGCTACTGGTAATTGCCATTGAGTCAGCTCTGACTCCTAACGACCTCATGTACAGCAGAATGAAACATTGCTTGGTCCAGTGCTATCTTCATGATTATTGGTGTACTCGAGTCCGTTGTTGAGGCCACTATGTATTTTGAGTGTCTTTCAACCTAGGGGACTCATCTTCCAGCACTAGATCAGATGATATTCTGTTGTGAGCCATAGGGTTTTTATTAGCTGATTTTTGGAAGTCAACCTCCAGGCTTTCTTCTCAGTCTGCTTTAGTCTGGAAGCTCCTCTGTGAAATCTTCCACCATGGTTGAGTCTGCTGCTATTTGATACCAATGGTATAGCTTCCAGCATCATAGCAACACGCAAGCCAGCACAGTGTGACACACTGACAGACGGGTGATGCTATCCATTTCTCTGTTAACATTTATATTGTTTCATGGGAGGGAAGACCTGATATACCCTTTTAAAACGTGTGTAATCCCTCTCTATTCTTTGCTGCATCACCGTTGCCACGTGTACTGCCTCCAAATTTCAACTCTTCTGCCCTCTCCCTAATTACCTCTTCTATTTTCCCAAGTGTGTCTCTTCCACATATGTTATTTGCCTTATGCAGTGTTTGGGGGTAAATAACTAAATTAACATTTGTTAACACTGCTGCATGGGAAGAAGCCTCAGAGGTGCTCATTAGCTCATGGGATGATCCATTCGCCCAGTAGTTCATATTTCCAAGGGGCACGCTCATTGCCTCAGTTGTATTTCCATGACACTCATGCAAGTCAGTTGCTTTGCCAACTGTTGAAGATTCACTTTTCCCTTTGAAGGAGGGTAAGTGGCTTGGTTGCTAAACAAAAGGTTGGCAGTTCGAACCCACCAGCTGCTCTGTGGGAGAAAGATGTGACAGTCTGCTTCTGTAAAGATTACAGCCTTGGAAACCCTATGAAGCAGTTCTACTCTGTCCTACAGGGTCGCTATGAGTTGGAATCGACTCCGCAGCAATGAGTTTGGTTTTTTGTTTTAGGAGGTTTTCCCTCCGATAATTGCATTTACAGCCAACATCACATAGGTTAGCATCCAAATGTTCTCCATCCTTTTTTTTTTTTTTAATGTTGGTTTTATATCTTTAATTAGACTCTAAGTTTCTAGAGTTAAGGGGCCATTCATGGACTCCTTTTTTTTTCTCAAGATTTATTTTTTTGTTTATTGTTGTAGTTTAAGTGAAAGTTTACATTTCAAGTTAGTCTCTTATACAAAAATTTATACATATATTATTATGTGACCCTGATTGCTCTCCCTGTACTGTGACAGCACACTCCTCCTTTCCACCCCTGATTCCCCATGTCCATTCAACCAGCTCCTGACCCTCTCTGCCTTTTCATCTCACCTCCGGACAGGAGCTGCCCGTTTAGTCTCATGTGTCTACTTGAGCTAAGAAGCACACTCTTTACGAGTATCATTTTATGTC